CCTACTCTGAACAAAGACCGACAGAAGAGTGCCAACTATGATTGGATTGGGATGTGAACACTGAAACAAGGAATGAGATAACAAATCCAATGTTACCAACATGTAAAACTGAAGTCCTGCTGCCCTGGAGCTGGATTTGAACTAGTTGTGTCTAAAATGTGTCTGTACTTTGAAAAAAACCCCACAAACCAAAAATCTCCAAGGAATATTGTAAGTTCTAGGAACAACTATCCATGTGAAAATCAGCTCTACTGGCATCTTTATGAACAGAAAAAGGCTTAACTACATTAAATAGGCAAAGGGTTTGGAATTCTTCAGAAAGCTAGAGCTTGGAAGAGCAGGATATCACAAGCTTAACTTAGTGGTCCAGAAGGAGGAGCGGTGAAGACTTCAAAGAACTAGAAGTGAAGAACTACTGACTTGGCTGATTCAGAATTGTTGGGGTTTATTTTGAGCTCTGTCCTTACCTCTTTCTTTGACCTTGGCCATGCCACTTTGCTGCTTATCTTCTGTGCCACTTTGTGGAACACAACCACAGTGACTTTTAAAAAGCACTTTGCTAACTGGCATGGACATTCTCAGCAAAATGTTTCAATGTAGTGTAAATAACAAACATGTTTTGCTGAGACAGTCAAAAAAAAGGAGTAAATACGCTTTTGCTAGTGCTCTGCAGTATTAGTTAACTGGCATTAGTCCTATAGCAACACTGGCATATCTAACATTGACAGACAAAGAGAAACAAACAGAACTAGTTTCGTTATTTACAGTACTTCACTAAAACCAACAGAACTGTCCTTTTTCATCCTAAGCATTATATGCCAAGTACCTTCCTCTGGCCAGAAATGAGACTTGAATCACAGGTAAGAGATAAAAAGAAGGGAAACTCTTAAGTGCTGTGCTAAACACAGTGATGTTGACTTCACTGGGCATTTTCAGTTGCTTTTTTTCTATAGCTCAGCATTTAGATTATTTAGGTGCCTTCACACTGGGAAAAACCTACTACCAATTCTGTAACATACACTCAATGGCTCACCAACACGCAGCTAAAGAAGGAGAGGTTGGCAGCATCACCAGATGAAGACCAGTGAGGACTCCGTCAGATTAATAAGATTAAACTTCATATGGAATAAATTGAATCCCTTATATCAAATGCCAAAATAAGAGAAATACTTATCTCCTCACACAGCAGAACCAAACAGCTTACCTAAATTATCTTCCTTCTCTTGTGTAGTTTATATGACTGCTGGTAATGCCACTGGAACACTTGCCTACCAGACTCACTGCCAACTGAACTGACACTCAACAAAATAATTTCAGGGACTCTAAAAATAAATCACAGGTGTGCAATTTATTTTGTAGAGACCATTATGTACTCATTTCCTGCTAGCATCCCCAAAGCAGTGAAACAGGCAGCCCTCAGAACCTCCAAGATCTACAATAAATCTGCCTCAAACAAACACGGTAGTAGACTTACAGGGCACCTTTCCTACACTCTAAATGTAGAGTTATGAAAATTAAAAGAAGAAAAAAAATTAAGAAAAAATTTCCTTCTTTTAACCAAAAAAGGTGGACAACTTGGGTCGGCATGCTTTTTGACAAGGAGAATCTCAAGAAATAGACACCTTCTGTAATTGTCAAATAATCCCCTTAAGTTCAGTCCCTGTATAAGATGAAGTTACCTCCCAGAGTAATCAAAATCCTATGTTCTTTATTTGCACCACCAGAAATGCTGACAACTATTATTTTGGTATGTACTATTTGAGTTCACAAAGCTGCAATAGTTTAAATTAAATAGGATTTTTTTTTCAAATCCTTATATAATTGGGTAATTTCTCAGACTTGTATTAATGTGCTCACTTGACACATTACTGTTCAAAATGTAATGTGACCTTAAAACATTCATCATGAAGCACTGTCCTGATGCATTCTCTATCTGCTGAAATATAGGCAGACATCTGAAAACAAGGCATTCTCTGATTTTCTTCTACTCCAGTAGAAAACTTGATTTTGAATAAGGCAACTCTATTCTTTTGCACTCCCCCGTGTTGTTCCCTAACTCCCAAACTAACTCATCCTGCAGCTTCAGGTGCATAGTGTATGTCCCAGCTGGTGCAAGATGAGTGTATGAGAACCACTGTTATTCAACATAGGCAGTACCAACCAGTAGATCAATACAGCTGATGCTCCCATGAAAGCTCTACAGTTCTTATAGATGTTTAGTATGTTGTAAGAAATGTGTCTGCAAGAATAATTTCCAAGTTCTTGCAAGCAGAAGCTGTTCCCTCACCAGAGACATTACTGCCTATCAGTAGGTGGGTGGTAATTTGCATAAAGGAAATGCTACATCCATGTAATTCTGCAGGCACAAAGCTAAGGAGAAAACCTGTTCTTGATTACCCACAGTAATTGAGAAAACTAAGACAAAATGCAAGCTATATATAAGTCAGGATGCAATAACATACTTAGTCCAATAATCTTTACAAAACTAGTAAAAAGCTTTCCACAGAACAGAGAAAATCCCAAGATGCTTATTACATATAATGGAAAAGGGATTTCAGCAATGCAGTGACAGAATAATCAAGAAAGACATGACTTGGGCCTACAGTCCCCTATCCCCGTAAAAAAGCTCCACCATTGTCACAATCTAATATTTATGATACTTGCTCTATAGATTCACTCTAAAAAGAACATATATTTTTTAAAACATCCCTTCCACCACACAGCCCAGAATGAGGAACTCCATATTGTTTAATAAAATAAACAGCTGTTGTAACATCTCAAGCCCATACCCAAGGTTACTAATTCATCTTATTCCAAGAGAGAAACAAACCAATCAATTTTCCTTAAAATATCTCAAGTCCTTCCCTCCAGTATCAGCTCCTACATTTGTTTACCTTCCCAAATGTAATGCTGTTTGCTCCAGACTTAGCTGGGATAGAATTTTCCCTATACCCATTATTTCTGTACTCGATTTGGTGCTATCTTTGGTCAAGACCACCTTTCCCCTACAAACACAGGACATCTCTGAATCCTCCCATAGGCATTCCCACTCGTTCTTCCTCTTTCTTTACTATTGCTTCCTCTCAAATGAGGGAAATTATAGTAATACATGTAGTAAACCCCTCAACTTCTCACTGACAATTTACAGTGCAGCAGAATTATGCTCTGCTGATTCACTGTGACAAGAGACATTGACTCTTGCTGCTGACAGCACAGATGTTTTCCAGCATCCATATCTGTTTGGTTGGCAACATTGTGCACTGGTGTCCCTCTAGTTGGGCTGGTTCTCTTGTTGATATGTTTACCTTTAACAGGTAGCAGTCTCTGCTCCAAATAAAACAGTAAAATACCGTTAGCTAGCAGTTTTTCATCTCAGAAATAACTTTCATTCTAAACCTCAAAAATGTTCAGCTAGCACTAAGCAATAAAGTCTTAATGGCCTGTGAGCAAAATAAGCAAGTAAATATTTTCTTTGGTAAGGAGGAAAGGCGCAACACTTAAAGACAATTATTTCTTATTCACAGATGCAGCCAGTAATCCACTAACTAAGCAAATCACTCCTTAATTTTACAGCATTTATCAACATGCCCATGTATACTGCCATCTATAAGGGGAGGGTTTAGATATTAGGGCATCTTTATAGACATTAAGATTGCCTTACTCTAATAAAAAAGGAAACTCTAATAGTATAAGAATAACATTGTAGAAACTAATTTGAAAGCTCTCATAGTTCCTATCTGCAAACTCACTAACAAGAACTAATAATACTTTTTTTACACCTTCACAAAAAACCATATAAATTCATTGGCACAACATTTGAGGTAAAAAAAACATAGGAAGATTCTGCAAGGCCTGGAAATTTACAGCATTTTAATAGTTAATGCTAGCTCATTTGAATCTATTTAAGATATTAAAATTCCCATCTGTCAGATCTCTTTGCTAATGTCACTGCCCTCAAAGCAAAAGGGAACATATGCCTGCATCCCAGCCACCCAGTTCACAGCGCTCCTTTTTAACTCAAGTCATAAATGAAAAGGAGTTCATACTAACACACCAACCTAAACCACCACAGCTAACATGCAACTATGTGTTTGCTCTTGCCATCTAGACATAGCCAAGCAGAGAAAAAGCTAATCAGATGCATAAGGCATCAGGAAAGGAAATTATGACTTTAAACTACTGCAATAATTTGCTCCCACACTCATAATGTTCTATGTGTGTGTTTGAATTCAAGGCAATTTTAAGTTTGTGAAAAGAGACACACTATCAGAGCAATACCCAACTGGCAGACAGTAATGCTGTTGGTAATACAGAGTAGCTAAAATCACCGTGATTTCCACAATCCTAACTGCCAAAGTTTGATCCCCATATGCTATAATGGGTCAGCTGCATCCCACGTAAAGCATCACAAACATCAGCTGAAATCCTGGATGTAGAAGGACATTTTATTTACCCAAGTTAATGTTTCTGTCAACACCAGCTCTATGATGGATAAAGAGAAGATCCAATTCAGCTGGGATGGGTTAAATCTCCCATAAGGAAAACAGGCTTGCATCTCACCTATACAGCAAAATCTAGCAAGTAAATGAAAGTTTGGGAGTATTTATCTTAACAAAGGAGTATTTACCCTTCCAAAAAGTGGAAGGAGAATATACATTTTAAGTTCAGTAAGACTTTCCAACATACAGAAGCCTGCTGAAATGCCAATAAAACAGACACTATTTATGTATGTATATTAACTACTAGAGAAGCACGCTTCATTTACAATTGCTTTTGTATCCAATCAGTTAAGTTGCTTCTACAGAATGAAAGCATTTACAGGTTTCCTGCAGTCTGTAGCACCATACCGTATAAAAATAAACCCCTCTGGGATTAAATTAGAGGATACAGTGGTTCACAAGAAAGGATCACTAAGTTAACATTACTCCCCTTTTTTCTTTGTATGATTTCTTCTCAAAAGCATACCCCAGCACCCTGACTGTTCACTGTGTAACACTTACTGTTGCTGGACTTCAGGTCACGGTGAATTATGGGAACAATCGCTTCCTCGTGCAGGTAGTTCATTCCCCTCGCAATCTGTACTGCCCAGTTCACTAGTATGTCAGGAGGTATCCTTTTACCAGACAACACTCTATTTAGCGATCCTCCACGGGCAAACTCCATGATCAAGCAAAGATTAGGTTCCTTTAAACACACGCCCCTGAGGGCAATGATGTTGGGATGTTTTAACATCGCAAAGAGCTTGGCCTCTTGGCGGACATTCTCAATGGTCTGGCTGATGTCCTCATCAGGGTCATAGCGAGCTGCCTTGACAGCAACCTCATCTCCTATCCACACAGCTCGATAGACTTTTCCGAAGCCCCCTATGCCAATGATTTCCTCCAGAACAAGCTCTGAGAAGTCGATCTCCAGGACTAGGGAAAGAGGAAAAAAAAGATGTAAACATTTAGCAACTATGCAGCTTGGACATCAACTGAAGGTCCATGTTGCCCAACCTCACCCTTACCCTTGGAGGAAGGGTCAATTTTCATGCCAAAACAATACAAACAAAAGCAGTAGTCCCTTCCAACAAACTTTTAGTGCCAAATAGTGTGGTAAAATAGATCTTGCAGTATCATAAAACCTGTATGAATGTCCTTTTACCACACTTAAACTCTTATAACACTGATGCCCCTTCCCACCACTTACAGATAAATCCGCCTTGACAGCACAAGATTTCAAAAAAGAAAACCACACAAACTAATCTTTGCTGGGTTCACAACACAGTGCTTAATGTGAGATATCTAAAACTCAACACAAAATGCATCTGCTTCTGCATTTGTTCTTTGTTTGAATTGCCACAACAATAATTTAGTCCTTCCCAAATCAAGTTTGTTCTTCTATAGAGTTCTTCCAGATCTCTATAGGCTCTGCAGATTCATTCCCCACAAGAGATCTGTTAACCAATTCTGACGCTTCCAACAACAGTGTGACAGACAGATGGATCAGACCACACACTGAGTATGCAGTGCTAGCAATAAGAAAAATATTTTTTGATTACTGCGTACTGCATTCTTATTACAGAAACTTCCCATTCCCATGCACTCACAGTGACACTTTACAGGCTGACACAGTAACCGGTGGATACTTGGCATTGTATAGGAAAACCCTACACATGCAGATGTCTTAATTCAACATGTAAATTGCATCTGGAACAAAAGTAGTGAGAAAATGCATCCTGTACAAATGCACACTAAACACAGCTTATACTCATGGGTGGCCAAAATAACCCATCCAATACTGATTAATGTAGAATGAAAACCCCACATACTGACCAATGAAAACATGCTGACACAGCTGAATTTACAGCAGTGGTAGGCCATTGGAGAGATACCATTGATCCTATTCTGTCTGATATTTGGCTCATTAGCAAGATTTAAGCAGAAAGTCATCAAGACTTTTAATACTTTCCTGCATTTGAAATGCCAAATCTGACATGATTCCCCTGTTTTGTTTAGTTGAAAGGAAATTAAGCCTGTAAGGGAGCAAGTTAGATAACATTAAAGTAAACTATTTTCCTTATTTCAATCAAATGTCTTTCCTAAGAATACAAGACTTTGTCACAAAACTGCATGGAATTAGTACAAACTCTTCTCTCCACAGCTGTAGGGTTTTTTTCTATTTTTGCCTGAGCTCTGTCTTCCCTGAACATGATTTTTCAAAGTCTAACTTACTATTGTAAGTCAGTCAAATCTATAAACTAGTTTAATAAGGATACCTGTGATCCTTTTCCTAGTGTTCCATGAACAAAAGATTAATGGGAAACAAGATAGAGAACTGGCCAGGAAAGTTTTCCAAAAGGAGAAAAGGTCCCTTCCAGTCCAGAACACAAAAATAATTTCTTTTTCTGCTACTCTGAGTAACACTGACCTTCAAGGATTTGCAAAACAAAGAAGATTTCACTCCTGCCAGCCTTGGTGCTCATGAGATAGAGATTACCAGAAAATATGAAGAACACTCTGACCTGAAACACTGAAATTTTAGAACAAGGCTGTAATGACAATAACTCCGCATATGAGACTGAGAATGTCACTGAGACTACACAAAAGGAGCTGCTCTTGTATTTCTCACTAATATAAGAGCTAAAGAAATCAGATGTTGAATCCTATCTCTTCAGTCAGTAGAATTTCAGCACTGTTACAATCCTCAGTTGACCGGCTCCTAGGGACAAGCTCAGTTAAAAGACTGAACGAACAAACACGTAAGCCACAGCACCGGGCGACTGCCCGCCCCGCAACCCCCGGACACACAGCATTCCGGTGCTGTTCCCAGTCTGTGTTCTTCTCGGGCATTTCACGCACTGAGAGGGCATGAACGAGGCGGCCAGAGAGCCGTCCTGCAGGTGCTGAAGGGACAGCTCCGGCGGCAGCGGTGCCGGAGGGGCGGAGGGACGGGACGGGCCCCGGGACGGCCCCGCGGGCAGAGCCCCGCCCCGACCCCCCCGCCCCGCGGCCGTGCGGGGGAGAAGCGCGGCAGGAAGGTGTCAGGCAGGAGAACGAGATGGGCAAAGGAAACCGAAGGGATGGAAGGTAGAAGTTCTTTGTGTGCCGTCACCCATTTTCCGTCAGAAAAAGCACATCCCTGCTGGATGCACAAGTTAACAGGGTTACGACGTAAAACAGAGAGACTTCGGCTTCCGGATGAAATTTCACGTGACATTGAATGTTATTTATTTGCAAGTACGACCTTAGCTTTAACTTTGAAAATGTATGTTTCTGTAAGGCAGACTGGCCAGCTCACCCTCATGGGAAGCTTCATCAGAAAAATCCCTCATTTAAAAAAAATATTTCGAGGGGGTTCTTTAAAGCTATTTTGTGCTGAATTAGCTTCTTTGTTTTCACAGATTGAGTTATACCGCTACATTAGGCCACTAAAAACACTAACCCCACCTCTAAACTCCAGTATAATTTGGCAGATGTGTTGTACTGGACTGTACAGGCAATGGGAATGTTTAAGGGGCATTTTTGCCTCAGAATTTAAGAAATGAAGCACTATCATTCCTCTAGGGACTGATAAGGAATTACAGAGCCTGTACACCATGAACTAGTGGCCATGTTGACAACTGCAAAGCAGGTGCCTTTTAATCAGCACTTACTATACCATATGATGAAGCTATTTAATTAATTTTGAAGTGTGTTAAGAGCCCACACTGCAGATGAGGGTCCTTCAAGTTGGTCCACTTCTGACAGCCTCTACAGGCTACTTTTATCATTCATGGTACCGTCTCTGAAGCAAGATTCAGGCACACTAATGGGATGGCTAAAATTACCAGCTATACTAGTACACCTCTCAGTGAAAGCAGAATCCAAAGGACTTATACTCCTAGCCCATCATTAAACACGAAGATAAACTTTAAGAAAGCAAGTAAAAATAGTTTCTGTGCAGAGGTGTGTGTCTGGAATGACACTTTGTATCACTCCTGCAAAGCGTTAACAGTTCACTGTCCAGTAAGAATAGACTGTTATTCCCAACAGCTAGCAAACTAACATCACCAGCTCTAAAAGGGGGTATCGTTCCTTGCAAAGGATTTCTAACATTAAACTTGAAAATCCAATTCAACAGCAGCCAACTTTAACAAGACTGTCCAAAAGGCATTGTTTCTTTTAAGAAAGAAACGTACTCCTTAGGCATTATACACATCTATTGGAGGGCAGTAAGTTCTCCTCTGTCATGAACAGATGATGATCATCATAAAGGCTAATAACCTGACAGAAGAGAAGTAGTGTAGCCCTGTTGTGGCATGAAAGACAAGGGTAAAGGGGAAAGATATAACTCCACAACTGCTCCTGAACTATCAAACCATAGAAAATGCAGCAAGACAGGAGAATCCACAGCTACAAACCCTGCACCTGAATGCTCAAAATAGGATGGAAGTTGAGGGTTCAAAGAGTTCTGCAGAAATGGTTCTCCTAACTATCTCAAAGGCAAAACCTAATAAGATTCATTCACAGTGTTTTCTGCATGTGGGGGGAAAAATAATTTATCTATACTGTAGCAACATGAAAGAAAGGACCACCACTACCAACCTAGTCCCTTCACAAGCCCAAGGGCAATGCTAGAAATTACTGAGTTTTACCTAAATACTTTCAAGCAGAACACAGAATAAGAAAAAAAAAAGCTATTAGTTGTATTCCTTGGAGATACGACCTACATAGGACAAAGCATCTCTTTTACTTTCTAGAAAAGCCTACTAGTCTGAAGATTTTTCTCTGCCCCTCCAAAAAAAAGCATTATCCTTGCCTGAATTGTCAACAGTGATAGATGAACAGGATCCAGAAACAGTCATCCCATGCTGTTTCTCTTTCCACAATTGTATGTAGCGGCTAAAAAAAAATGTAGAGATGAACGGCCCTATTCTCTGTCTCTAACAAAGGTTTCAAAACTGCCATGAAGTTCACAGAAACAAACCAATCCCTTCATGCCTTCAGCATCACAACTTACTCAAGCACTCCTCAGGCAGGCCTAGCCACCCAAAAGCAGATAGAACTCGTTCACAGGTATTTTAGGACAAAATTTGTACGAGCTCAGAGGAACCTGGTAACACAAGTCAACTTAGGAATTTTTCAGTCAGAAATAATAAGCTTTTGGTTAGGAGGAAGGAAGATACTGAACAAGTATTAGCAGTGAAGCGACACTGCTTCCTATCCAGCAACCCTTCCTTAAGGATATTCTTAAAGGGAGAGTCACCAGAAGCCCCAGTAATTCCACCACTGCACAGCCGCCAGGCTTCAGTCGTTTGATGAAAATTTATCAGCCTCTGGAAACACATGACTTAACAATGGGAAACTGCTCCTGGCGCCGGTGAAACGCCAACCGAGCGAGGCTCGGCCTCCCTGGAGCGGCGCGCTAGCCTGGAAGACAGAAGGGCACTGGTGCAGCAGGAATGCGTCCCCGGGTGGGAAAGGGAACGGACCAAGGTCCCGGGGCAGCCCCAGGACGGGAGGGGCCGAGACGCCGCAGCCTCTCCGCTCCCCGCCAAGGGCCACGGCAGGGCCCGTTCGCCCCAGCCACCCCCCTGCCGGCCGGGCCCGCGGCCTCCCATGGCCGTTCGCCACCGGGAGGGGCCTTCCCTTCCCCTTCCAAGGCGGACCCGGCTCCCGCCAGGACCCACCGCAGGGCCGGCCCGGGCCTCCCCCCGCGACGGCGGCGGACCCGCCTCCCCCGGGCACCGCGGGAGGGCCGGGTCGCGGCTCCCCCCGCCCCACCTCGGTAGTCTCGCCGGTCCGGTCCCCCCTCCCCGGGTGACCCAGCTCCCTCTGGCCCAGAGGAGGGTCGTGACCGCGCCTCTTCCCCCTCCTCCGGCTCCCTTCGTCCCGGCGGAGGAGCCCCGCCGAGCCCCCCGCCCCGGCCCGGGCCCCCTTACGCTGTATGGCGGGGGGGCGGCGGGTATCGGGCGCGCAGCTCCGGGCCGCCTCCCGGCACGCCGCTGCTCACGTAGTTGCTGGGGAAGATGCCGACGCGCTGGTCGATCTTGCCCGTCCACCAGCCCTCGTCGCCGGACACGTGCGAGTCCCGGGACAGCACCTGCACCACGTCCCCCGGCCGCAGGCTCAGCTCGTCCTCGCCGCACGCCTCGTACTCGAAGACGGCGGTCCAGAGCGGCCCGCCGCCCGGCGGCTCCCCGCCGCCCGCGCCCTCCTGGCTGAGCTCGGTGAGGGGCTCCATGGCGAGGCTGCTCCATAGGGGGAGGCGCCCGAGGCAGCCGGGCACTGCGGCGGACGGCGGGGCCGGGACCGCCGCCTATTGTTCATGCGGCCCGGCGCCCGTCGGCACCAGGTGCCGCTGCCGGGGGATCCCGGCGCGGGGCCGCCTCAGCCCAGCGAGGGCAGGGGCGAGAGCAGGAAGTGTGTGCCGTGGAGGAGCTGCCGCATCCCCCCCATCCGCCGCCTCCTCCGCGCCCGCCTCCGCCTCCCGCCGCCGCGCATCCCGGAGCCACCTGACTCTCTGGCAGCTTCGGCGGCAGCGGCGGAGGGTAGGGCGGCCCCGCCCCCGCGCTGCCATTGGCCGCCGCCGCTGCCCGTCAGCGCCGCCCTCACCTGATTGAGGGCCCGCGCCCTCCTGGCCACGCCCCCTCCCTGTCCGGCCCCAGAGTCGCGCACTCACCGGTGTCCTCTCGATTGGCCCCCGCCTGGTCAGCACTCGCTTTCCATTGGCCTCGCGCTCCGAGCTCCGCCTTCGTCGACTCTTCTCATTGGCTGGGGAAAGGGGCATGACACGGTCCGGGGTCGGAGGTGGGCGGGGCGACATCTCCAGCCGGAGGCCGGAGAAGGGGGGACGGGCGCCCCCTGCCGAGGTGAGGCGGCGCACACCTGAGGGCAGCAGCGCCACCCTCCCCAAAATGGGTGTCCCCCTGCACCCAGGGTAGTGTCACTGCTCCGGTGTAGCCGCCTGGGGCGCAGGCTTGGGCCAGAAACCAAATCAAAGTATTTGTGTTCAGTTATTCCATGGTCCTCCGTGCTCGGTCTGTGCTTAAGCACAGGTGTCAAGCGGTTTCAGCACGAGGTTAACCTGAGTGCATCCTTGCCTTTGTTAAAAATAAACAATCTGTTTCTCACTCTTGAAATCAGCATGTAGCTTCTTGGTCCTGAAAATCCAAATTCCTCCTCCCTGTTACCAAGGTTTGAGAAGCCAAACCTTGCAAATGGAATCTGTTTGCACTTGATGGTATTATAGGGAGATTTTCTTTCTATTTTGCTCCAGTTTTCTTTAAAAATCCTCATTTGATTTTCAGTGGTAAAACTGGACCTGCTCATGCTTCATCATAACAAAGCCCGCTGATGCCTAATGAGAATCCCGGGTATCTTGACCACACCTTATGTCTTGCCATTTATCTTGGGCTTAGTTACTCTTCAGGATTTAGTAAATGCAATTACACAATTCTTCTCTGCAAGATGAATTTTTTTTTTTTAAAAATTATTCCTTAGTGATGCCTCTGTTTTGGTTTATGTACAGAGTAACTGCTAATAATTCTTTAATTTTGTGCATTGTGGTTTTGTGTATTTATCTATCCTGGTGTTAGCACTATGCTGCTGCTGTTTTGGGAAGCACCAGGGTTTAGGCTTTCAAAAGAATGATGAAGACCTTAAGCGTAACATGCTCTGAGGTCATTCAAAATCCTTATCAGTGTTTGTAAAATATTTGAATTTACTTGCCTGTTTTCTGGGAATACTCCCCCACTCAACTGAAACCTAGTAACAAATATTGCAAAGAACCCTATAGGCAACTAAAATTATTCCAGTTTCTCTCTTTTTTATTACAAACTGCTTTCTCACAGAAACCAAAAATACCGTGCCTAGAAAGAGCTGGCATATTAATATATAAATATCTATATAAATATATCTAGTTGAGATTGGAACTAAAATTTCACTGTGACATGCAAGATGCTGCTGCAGCACTAGTTTTCAATTGAATAACTAAGAACTGAGCATTAGATTTTCACCTCTACCTCCATTGCCTCTTGTCAGTGGGGGCAGAACAGAGGATGCATCCTCTCCACTATTCCTTTGTTGTTTAAGAGTGTGTTTTCACAATTAGCATAGGCCTATCCAATACTGCTCTGTTGCTGAAAGGGACTTTCTTGCCCCTCATCACATGCTTGACCTGCTTTACTGATTGCAGCAGTAGTGACTGCATGGCCGTGGAGTCATTTCAGACCATTTATCTAGCTGAAAGCTAAGCCTCCGAGTAAAACCAGCTAGTTTACAATCAGCTTTTTAGGTTGATATGACTTGCATTAGGACTGTATGCACAGTCATTAAAGCCAGCACAAGGAAGCTGGACAGGTGAAAAGGACAGCACACCTGGGTCTTTCAGCAACATCCCATAGTTAGGTTACCTTGTCTTGATCATGAATACAAGATATGATATAACAATATGATAACAAATAGCTGTATTCATAATTTTGAGAGTTCAAATAATAGATGACTGAGATGGAATGTGAAGGACTGATGTTAATGTCCCTAGTTCAACAGCTGCAGTTGCATGTAATACTTTTCTGTCCAATTTTATTTAGGAAAAAAAATATTTCTTTAATTCACAGTGGGAAGTTATTATGCTTTATGTGAATATTGTGCATTAAATGTTGTAATACAAAATTTGAGAACATAAAAAAATAGAGACCTCCTGTCTTTCAGCTGTTTCCCACCAATTTGGATCACCGCTTTGATAGAGCACTGCTAGGTTTAAAGTAGAGAGTTGTATTACCAATGGTGAGAACTATGATAGGATAAAAATGACTTCTGTAGAGGCTTAGCTTGCTTGCCAAGACAGAACCCTGCCATCTTGTGGAATGCCTTGATATCGAAGCACACAGCTTTGCTTTTCAAAAGACGTCTTGCTTCTCCCACCCCCTTTTTTTTTTTTTTCTGATGATGTGTTTGTTTCTACAGAAACGGTGTGACTGGCTCAGGAAGCCCAGAGCAGCTAGTGCCTAAAGCTGGGAGAGTGTCCAGGGAAATGCTCTGAAGAGCCATGATAGGATTTTCCCACTCTCCCAGACTTCTCTTGGCGTCTTTTACCAGCCATGTCAGAGACTGGTTTCTGAATGAAAAGATTTGGCCAGATTGGATAGGCTGTTCTTAGCATCAAGGTAAATAGAATAGTCAGTAAATATGAAGCTCATATTTCAGCAGCTGGCAAAAGGTAAAATAAAAGAACGTTAAAGACTGTCTGCATGCAGTCTTTGAAAGATGACATTTTAGCATTTGCAAGATACAGAAAGATTTTTGAAATTGTGCATGCCTTTCCGATGGACATATAGCCCAAATGTTACATTGAAAGGTTTTTTCTTGTACATTTTCTAATAAGAATGTATTTTTTCCCAGCTCTTATAATCTGTATTTGAATACACACTCTGTGCTTCTCAAAGTTTGGACATGAATTTTGTTATAATATGTTTCAAAAGAAGAGTCTAATCTGCAAAATGCAGATGATACTCTGAATGTAGTTCAAACTTCCTCCAAACTGGGAATTTTGGACCAAAGTTTTTAATTCAGACTCATTTTTGCATCTACATTTTAAAAATACCAACAAATTATTAGAGGACAGACAAAAACACGAGTCTATCCTCAGTTCTTATTTTAAGAAACAATGGAAAGTACTCAGCTTATTCAATACCATTATTAATACAAATTTAGGATTATCATCTCAGCTCTTGTCCTGACTTTTCTAGAGGCTTGTGCAGACTATCAAACTAGCACTCTTTCTTTCAATGGATGTCTTTCCTCTTTCTTCACTGGACTTAGCAGTTCTATAACATGTTAACACTTGGACATCCATAGTTTTAAATCTACACTGGATATCAAAATGTTGGCAGTCTAGGTTTCTAGTATCTGTGCTCTGTGAGGGGAAAAAAACAGAATGGTACAAAAAAACCCAAACAAACAAAAACCCCCCACAAAAACCAAAACAAAAAAGCCCCAAACAAACAAAAAACCACAACCATACACAAAAGAAAGATGAATGTCCAGAAAAAAAAGAAAGAGTACCAGCACAGAACAGCTACACTGCAGTACTAGAAACACACCGTATTTCCAACTATATGAAAGCGTGTCTCTACCAGCACAGCAAGCATAAAAGATTAAGGAGATGCCCCTTGGCACATCTGCTTATTGCAGCTCATTCCTTTTATATCCTCTGGTATTTTATAGAGCATCTTAAATTAACCCAGCACTAATGCTCTCATTTGGCTTTTATACATTTCAGAAGGTATACCTCAGCTGTCTGACATGCTTATATCCACAGATACAGCCATATACACTGCTCTGGAGATGAATCTCATGCCAGTAGCCAGATTTGTTTGATCAATTGCTGATAATTCCTACTCCAATAATGTAAACTTTGCTAACAAATGGATCCTTCTGTCAATAAAAATTGCCTCTACACGGCTGTAAAACTGGACTGTGTTTTTTCCCCCACTTTAGTACAGTACTGCTTCGACAATATCACTTTAGTGTAGGTTTGTTCTTCATGCAGGGAGAGAGACAAGCCACAGGCAACAGAAGCTTTATGAACTGTGCTGTGCTAGCTAGGAAGCAGGCTGCAAATCTGGGTCTTTAGCATCTGAGTCAGTAAAGAGAAAGCTTTACTGTGCTTCATGAAATATATATGCTAATCTCCCAGATGGCTGTATCTTCTTTCTCCATAGAACAGATGACCTGGAAAAAAAAAAAACTTAAAACACCGGAGAGTGGGAATTCTGGACCAAAATCTGGGAGCTTGCAGAAGATTTTACAGACAGACTTGGCTCTTAAATTTAGTTGGAAACTGGTTTGATAACAAAATATAGCAATGGCTATTATTATAGGTCACAGTAGAATTTCACTTGTAACATGAACCATTCATACATCTGCATCCCTATAAGAAAAATAAAACAAAGGCAGACTTTCAAAAGAGATTTCTGCCTACACTAAAAAATATACAGCTAACAGAAATAATGTTTAACTTTGGCTTAGTAATGATTAACATTTGCATACTGTGTATTACCTCAGTCCAAGCCACATGTATAGCTCTTGTTTAATTTTTCATTGACTGAGTTGTTGCTCCTGTAAAGGAATATTGGAATCATGCTGCCACACTGGCAACATTGTGCCACAGTTTTGCAAGGGTGTGGAAAAAAAATTTAACGTGTTTGAATAGAGGAACTGAGATTAGTGCAGTGCATATACTCTCACTGGAGTTCAGCTACATCAAACCTTTCAGGTTTCTGAAATCTTTATAGGTGCAGATGGCCCTGATCTTCCTTTTTATATTTCATGTGAAAAACGAAGC